ATTCAAGGATTTATTTGCATTTTATAGAACTCGAAGGTCCATTATCATGTTTACTAGATCCAGTAACTGGTTCTCTTCTTAAGTCAGTTTAATTCAGTTCACAGCCTACACCCCGTTTGTCTAAGATTCATTTTAATATTATGATCCTTTCTGCATCTAGATCTTCAAAGTGGTCTATTATACTCAGATTTTCTGACCATAACATTTCATGTATTTCTATATCAATGCTTTCTACATGTCTCGTAATCTTAACGTCCTCGATTTGATTATCTTAATAAGCTCTTCTTTTTGACAGTTTCTTTATCCTCATGTTACTTCCTCTAGCTGAAGTTCAGATATTCTCAAACACCTTGAATCTATATGACTGAGTTTTTGCCTCCCAAAGACGTCTAACCGATTGACCAACGAATGAAAGTTGTTTGCGGGGACGACAGTGTGGACATAAGCACGTGTCCGCGATGCAAACCTCGGACATGTCAGTGTGAATGACAAGCAGTGTGCTTTAGCATTTCATAGGTTTCCGTAGCCGTTTTGGGCGAGTCTTTGGCAAAATTTGATGCACACGCCATTCCGAAATCGCAGGAGGGTCGGTGTAATGCACTACCAAAACGCCCATAACTAAGAAACAAATGCTAATTGGATGATGCCGGCTGGCACACCGATTCACTATGAATGTAGGCCGCACCCCCTAGCGGCAGAAGCTCGTACTACATCCGGTTCGCCCGCTGTTGACACAGTCTTGAAACTTTCCGATCACACCTCGTATAATATTAAGAAGGATCTTAAAGAAATAAGATAGGTTGTATGATGGAGTATTGTTGCTTAGGATTGTGTTTCCGTAGTGGGATGTTGTGAACTCTGTAATTTACACTTTTTCGAGGCATAGTATTGCTTCTTAATAAATTATCTGATGCATACATTTAGTTCTTATATGAGGTGAATAAAAGCTTATTAAGAGAGTAATACTACTTATGGACTTGACATTTGAAAGCTGTTCCCAATGTAGTGTAGATATGCATATGCTGTTATATGTAAAAATCCTAATAGGTACAAACAGCGGACTTATAAATTATAAATTAAACAAATCATTGCAATCAGTTTGTTCGCTGAATGTAGCTGGACAATCCAGGTGTTAAAGGCGCATATCTTAATTCTTTTGTTACTATCTTCTTTGCGCCACGTACTTCCGTACTGTGACTACAACGCCATTACAAACGGTGACAGTTTTAGGAACTTTGCAGTGGGTAGTAAAGTGATTCATTCGCTGACGTTTCAATCAGTGTATTTTACTGTGCGTGTAAACTAATCCTGTGCGATGTGTTTGGAGTGAACATAAATATATCATTGTAATGCATTAAATCTCACATTGGCCATTCGAAAAGTTAAGACGAAGCATTCCGTGGACACGAGACAACGCCATAACATCACAACATCAAAGTCGCAGCAAGATGTATACACGTAAAACATGTCAGACAAGGTAAGCTTGAAACAAATTGGTAAACTCAAACAATTAATATAGGAAGTACCAGTATGATAAAGAAGGGAAAATAATATATTAGAGTGTCGATGACATAACATTTAACAATGTATTTAGGTTCCAGTTGTGCTAATTATGTTTATATGATTTATTAAGGTTAATAACCCTATATATGTCGCGCTATACGCCATGTTGGCTTTTGAGAGGAGAGGGGTATAGCTCGTACTCATTCTTAACCTCGGCACTAGATGGGCTTAGTGGTCAGCATCACGGCCCGATCGCGCTTTATGCCCAGGAAAGGACCCCGGTACCCATTCGATAGGAGGCTGAGTTGGTTCCAGAGCCGGTCTGGACGCAGAGGCTAGAGGATAAATTCTCAGCCCCCCGGCGGGATCGAATCCCGGTTGTCCAGTCCCATTTTCTGTCTTCGCAGGTTTCTCTGTCTCTGGTCCACTTGCTAGGTGATCATAAGCGGTTTTCTTACACTGCGTAAAGCGATCTGTGCCTATCCATTTCCGGTCTTGGCAACCGCGGCAAATATGAAGTTCATTGTCTTCTGGGTTGTTGCATCCTCAAGATGGAGGCAGCTAGTATCTCTGAAACGTCGGTAAACTTATACCATACTGCACGGTACAGCATCCCAGAAGACTGTTTATTTAAGCCGTTAATGTCGACTTTTAAATTCACGGCCATGTGGCGCCTCGGCGGTAAATAAAAAGTATGTTTAACGCCTCATTGCTTATTTTCGGAGTTTTTTTATTTTGTCTAGGGGAATGTAGCTTTGGTACTCGTTAAGGTCATAAGTCATAACTAAACGTAAATCAGTGTAGACTGATACACGATGTGCAGTTCATATTTTACAACACGCAGAAAATACAGCAGCTAAATATTGCTTGTGCAAACATTAAAATTCTAAGCATGGTCCCATTATCAATTTAATCTTCTACATGAACCAAATATTTGTGGTGCTTGATAATTGGACACTTGACTTTAGCCCGTCTTGCCTAGCGCCAAAGATATATTTATAAAATTGTCACAGTAAAGTGAGAAACTTTGTTATTTAAGTATAGTTTATTTTAAGAGAAGCACACTTGAAGAATGGTTGCATTAAGAACTGTAAACACACTTCAGATTCAGCGACACGTGTACCCTATGCATTTAAAAATAATACGTGGTTTAATAAAATGCCTTAATTTTTAAAATCGACCTTCGTTCTGTTTGGAGTCCGAAAATGCTAGATGTAATACTTTTTCATCCATAGTCGAATACTTGTTATAAGACTAACTGACATGATGATGGCTGAAGTGAGAAAGGAGGTAAATATGTACCAACATGAACGGTACAAAAACAAAATATCTGTCAAGATGACCATCTTCTGGGTTGGTGGGCCGTGTGGTTTCGTAGATATCGACCCACGTTACTGTCTCCATCATCAGGACAACCTTCATGATGAAGGCAGTAAGCACCTCTGAAACGTCGGTCAATTTTTACGATATACATTGCTCAACATTTCAGCAGACAGTCTTTATATTCGCCACCATAAGAACCTGACATCTCATAAGATGTCTACAAGTACCTGACTCCATGACGCAATGCTCATTTAAAAAGGTTGATTATTAATTGGCCAAGATATTCCTTGTTTTTTATATAAAAGGGGTTGTTCATTACCATGTTCACAAAACCCCGCTACTGGACCCTATATTCAGTAATTTCAACCAATACTCATCTTGAAGCCTAATTTATCAAAACCATTTTAATAATAACCTTCCATCTATTCTTAGGTTTTTAATTTATCAAAACCATTTTAATAATAACATTCCATCTATTCTTAGGTTTCGTAAGTGTTTGTTTCTTGAACGTTCTCGACTGAAAGTTTTAATACATTTCTTCCGTGCGCGTTACATGTTGATTAGTTGATTCGACTTAGGAATATATGAGTGGATAATATTAAAGTGGATCTTAAAGAAATAAGATGGGATGGTGTTGATTTGATTTGACTGTTTTCGGGCAGATCGCAATTTTAGGCTGTTGTGAACTCGGTGACGAGTCATTACATTCCATGAAAGTCGGGTCTTATACCACTTTTGTATTCGTAACCCACCAGGTTCTGTAGTGGTTACCAGTTGTAGTTAAACTGCCGGAGAAAGGAAAGCAGAGCTCAAGTGGCCATTAAATTGAAGGTCAAAGCTGTACTTAATCCAGTATTTGCTACAACACAAGTAATTTGTCTTCTGCACTGACGTTTCGTTAGGTTTTGGGATTAAACTGTTTTGTTCAGTGGGCAACTAGCTAGAAAGTCTTGTGATAGTTACCATGTATTTGCACTTGAAACTCTTTAACAGTTCCTACATGACATCATCTACAACCTGACGCCTCATAAGTTTTTATGCTACACACGTGTACGCAACACAAAACATCGCAAAGAAATCTAAATTGTATCTGTCACTGAATTCCAAATTGTTGGAGAAATATAAAGAAATCAATGAAACATAATTCTTGTTTATATACGTATTGATTGTCTGTCAGCTGGTTAGGTCGTTCCTCGTCTATTTTCGTACTCATAAAAGCCCAGAACTTGGCCTTGTTGTAGCCACTTGAATCCAGTCAAAGCTCTTATGCCCGATTTTGTTTTAGGAAACACGTCATGGAGACTCAGATGTATGTCATAACTTCACACTTTCTTAATACTGGCATTAAATAACGGTGGGTGGTCAGTTTCACGCCTCAGCCGCCTTAACTCTGGGGAACGTGTTTCCGTTACCACTGTATATGAGGCTGGATGGGTCCTAGAGCGTAGTGACGGAGAGGAGAAAAGTATTTCTTACCACTGTATATGAGGCTGGATGGGTACTAGAGCGTAGTGATGGAGAGGAGAAAAGCATTTTACGCTATGTTTATCTTCCCGTCCATCTATGTTTATGTCTTTCAAGTTGCCTTTTCGCTCATGAAGTTATTTTGTATGTCTTGCGTATATTTTAGGCAGTTTTTAGGTAATCTATGAACATACAATCTCGATATTGTTCACATCGATACTTGTTATCTAGTGGAATTAAGTGTCATGCAGTTATATAATCGTATTTTTGTGTGTTCTGTCGTGGTGTTTATGACATTAAACTGTCAGCGAGTTCCGTCACTCACAACTTTTCTTTTGAAAATGTGTATTTTCTATTAGGACAATCTTCGTGCCTTAAAGTTATGATGTCTAGAGCTGAAGTTTACAATCATTATTACACATAACCTACTATCAATACTTAATTGCTGTGTTCATAGAAAGATATTGTTCTTAATATTTATTTCAGCTGATTCGGAAATGCACCGGTAATTCTAAACACACAAGGAAGAGATTATATTTTATCCAAGTCTAGATTTAATATAGGAACCTGAAGACGGAGTTAGAGTCCCATCTCCGAAACGTCGTTTTACATTTTATATTTACTAGACGATGGATAATATCCAAGAAAATTTTTATTCAATTAATATATATAGACGGATTTCAAACAGACTTTATTTAAAATTTGCTATCAACCTTTACATTGAAATTTATTAAATACGAACTTAAAGTTTGATTATTACAGGTCGTTATAAATATAATATTTATTTTATTCACGTGTTAGATGCAGTCAGTATTGTGAGGCCCTAGAGATACACAAACAGATAAACGGGCTGGTGATATGTTTCAATTGAAATATGCGATTTTAGCTGGCAGCCACTTGTAACGGCATTCAGTATGATGTGTCTGAGTAGTGAACGTCTGTAAATATATCTGAAAACTAGTTTTGTTAAAACAAAAGCACCTGGATTAAATTTGTTTCCATTCGGAAGCTTGCTTCCTTTATTTCAGAACGAAGTTTTACTTTTAAATAGGAAGGGACGACATCGGATATAATTACTGCAAGTAACATGGTTTTTTAATTATGAAACTGTTCCTTACAAAGAGAGTAGCAAATAATAAGAGCTGAGGGTTATTTACAGTGGTAACCTTTCTTACAGGAAAAATACGCCATTTTAAGCATTCAGTTATTCTGTTTCTAAACAGCACTGAAGTTTATGTAAACGTCATACCGTGAAAATGGTGTTTTGTACTGGCTGAAAGCCGACGTCACTTCCTGTAATTTGATGTTATTTTGATGGGATATGATCTCCCTTGGCCCGGAAGCCGTTTTCGTCGGCAATGTAGCTGACAGATATGGGTGTTCCATCTGGACTGATGTAGGAATAAAAGCCTTTCTTGATGATCACAGCCTCCCAACCATCATTTGTGGTTAGAAGCCTTCCCTGTTCACTCACCGTGGTACCATTCTTGTCTGAAAATCTGAGTCAAAATTGTGATTGCAATTTATTTAATGACGGGAACCCGGAAATGCATATTACTGTCCTCATAAAAAGCAAACGACTGATTTTTACGAACCCGAAGATTACCCCACTACATGTCAAACAAGCTTTATATTTTTAAATTTATGATAATCTATAAAGTAAACATGACGGCCGTGCGAATTTCTTAGACGATAGCAAAAATGGAGCTACTTAATACAGTGCTCACAAGTAATGTGTGATATAATATTTTTTGAAAATATATGTATATCCCTTCGCTGATTTTGTGTACAGTATGAAACATCATGGTTGTCGCCCAAAATATGCATGGCCAATTTCAGGTTCGGTTTGATAACGGTAATTAATATGCAATTAAAGATAGGCTTGTGGAATTTTGTATTGGGATAAACCATAAACGTATCTATAAATTGTAATTAAATATTTGGTTAAATGTTAATAATTACAAACATAGCAACTAATAGTATAATATTAAAATTTAAAATGCAGGGGTGGTCTGACACACAGTTTAGCTTTGAAACAAACGATCACAAATCATTTGAGATTTTAAATGAACAATTGAAGGATGAATATTTCACGAAATGCACACATTTAAAGAGCCTGATGCTACCATTCCAAACAGAGAAGTCAGAAATTGAATAATATATATTTTACGTCTAACAATTTTTTAAGGACAGTGCCCTGGACCACCCTGGTTCGATTAAAACCGTGATGCAGACGGTTTGAGAATTTGATATTGTATCTTACGTCTAGTGGAAATTACCTGGTAGACGTAGCTGACTGAATTGTGTAATTATTTAATTATGTTTATTAATATCCTCACCTTATAAACGTTGTGGAAAAAATAGACGTCTTATGTGTTTCTGTGATCATTTTAAATATTCTTTTAGCCCAAAAATGTATGAAATTTAAATTATTCATGCTTGGGGTTTTACTGTTGGACAGTCAACTGTTCTGGATTCTTACCCGTGAGAAAATTGTCCCAAATCGTCCCTAAGGCTTATGCTTGTCCCTGGCGGTAGCAGTATCTCATTGCTTCCTTCAGGGACGTTAATTGATCTCTCAGGGATTTGAACTACTTCTTCGGGCGATCTGATTGGAAATATCTCATCGGCTATGGGCGCTGGGGGCGGAATCGACCCTGCAGGTTGGACAGGGGGAACAGCTACTGGGGCTTGATTAGGAGGAGTGGGAACTGGGGAGATAAACGATCCCTCAGATGGGTTCGAAGGAGCGCCGTACACACTGACAGGTACGTGAGGGGATGAGTGTGATATTGGGATGGGTGGCGACAACAGCTCGATGCGAGGTGGGCTGTATTGTGGTGACGCCACGACTGACGTCAGCAGCATCAGGACGAACTGAAAGCAGGAAACATAACATTTATCAGAACATTCTGCCGCTTTTGTTTGCGCGATACATTGATATTTGCTCAGAAATATGTTGGGGTAGTGTACTGGTATTATAAATCCACGGGGCAGCTAATAATCAAGATTTTAGGTTCTCGCATTGAGCTTTATGTGCACTATGGGTCATAGAATATTAGTACGGACCAAAAGTGAAAATTTGATCCACAAATATTGGTCTGAAATTGTTATATATAACTATATCGAACTCCTTTGCGTGTTTATGATGTGAAACATGTGGACAGATATAATCTGTTATGTGCTGAATTATTACAATTTTCGCCAAAAATGCGCAAAATATGTGGGTGTTTGAAGCGTCATTTGAAGAACCGAGCCTTCAAGGTGTTTGTCAGTTATTTGTTTGCGCGGAAGACGTAATTAAATGGAAGACACATAAGTAATGCTATTAAGCACAAGAACATTTTATTGAGACTACTGAGTACGCTAAGTCAAGGTATAAACGATCGTTTTGTCAGGATGTTATGTGTGATTGTAAGACGTGGTTTTGCTTTTGGGGAAGTTTGAAAAGAAAGTGTTGAGATAAATATTTGTATTTAAGTAGGGTGGGGGTAGGGAATGTGAGCTTCTTAGGATATTACGTCACGAGGAACTTGGTGACGTATACAGATCACCTAATATTGTTAAAATAGTTATAATATATAGGCAGTGGACTGGGCATGAGTGGAGGAAGACAAGGAATGAATCACGTATTTTGGTGGGCAAACCTCTGGGTAAACGTCAGATTAAAGGACCTAGCACAAGATTGGAAGGTAACATTAAGAAGGATTTTAGGAGAGCGGGTTGAGGTGTTGAGAGGTGGATGGAACTGTCTCAGGGTTACGAAACCTCAGGCGTTTCTACCAGATACTTCTATACGCTGATGTCGGACTACCCAAACACGTCTCATAATACGGATCTAGTAAACGATCATAACAGTTGCTGTTATTCATCTCAGAAACTGTTATCATGCCATCGACTTTCCTCAGAAGGACAGAGAAAACGGGTGGAGTCTTCTAACTTGTTCTGCGCTGTTACGAAACTTGGAAGAGGAACAGTTTCAAAACATGTAAATACGGAAGGGAAAAATATAACATTTGGATTCTGTAAAGAAGAATATTTCGGTTAATGAAGAAAATCACTCCTAAACAAAGCTTTAATATGCCGCATAGATACAAAACTAGTTAGACCATGTTAGAAGTATGGAAAAATAGACATCTAAAACTTGTTGGTTACCAATATGACAGAAATTTAACCACACTGTATGAAACGCAAATGTTCATTACCGTGTTCACAAGAACCCGTCACAAAGGAAGATGATGATGGAGGCAGCAAGTACCTCTGAAACGCTGATGAACGTCTACCAGAATACATGGTCACAAATAGCCATCTTCCTGCTTCAGTTATTTGTTTAAAATTTATATTAACATGACACATTTAAATGTCCAAATTAGTCTGACAATTTTAGATTTTCCAAATATTTTGTTTGAATTTTTTTATTTGCCCCTCCTTTATTTGAACATCCTAGTGATTTCCAAATATTTTGTTTGAATTTTTTTTATTTACCCCTCCTTTATTTGAACATCCTAGTGTTATTTGACGAAGCTTACATGTTATGAAGTTTCTCATTGTAGAGTTTTCTCTAGCCTTCTGTTACTCTGTCGTAGTTCCAAATATTTTTCTCAGCACATTTTTCTCAAATACAGTCAATTTATGTTCTTCCATTAGGATAAGAGACCGAATTTCACACTTATTTTAAAATATAAAAGGTAAAATAGGCCTATAGCGTCGTATCTTTAAAAATACACAAAGAACGCGCTCTGAAAATATTTCGATTTTACTAAGAAGAGGAATTTATATTATGTAAGATTTATGTATTTTTATAAACTCATTCAATATTTATAGCTTATTATTAACAATAACTTTTGTTGACATAATTTAAGTAATCTTATTTACAATATTCAAACTTAATTAATCCACACCATTTTCGAAATTATTGTAATGAACCGTTACGATTTGCTGTATACCAGGATGTATTCTTACACCAGTCGATAAATACATAGATACTCACGAACATTGCTGGAGTGTTGGTAGTGAAAGCGACGGAAACCTTGAGGAATCTAGCAAGATACGGATAAAATCTTCAACTTATATAGACGCAGGGGTCCCATTACAGTTCTAACTAGTTCCGTCACCGTAGGCTACCCTTGGACGAGGCAGGATTCACATAACTTCTGCTTCTGGATTTTACAGTATTGACACAAAACTGACGAACTCGTGAAATATGGCGCGGCATTTTAAGACTGACGAATATACGCGCTGGAAAAAGTAAACACGTCTCAACTACTGAGCGGCCTGATAAAAAAAAGTTTTATAAAATACATGGAACAAACACGAAGAAATATTTGAGTCGAAGGAAAAAAATGCTCTAAGCTACAATGACTTTGTAATTTTTAACATTTGATATCATGAAATAAACACGTATTCATTCAACCGCCAACACTCAAGTTTCTAATTATAAGAATTTAAATGCAGTTATTTGATTAAGATATGGTTTTAAACGCATTCTTGACTGTCCTGTAGTAACAGTTTACAAATTATCTGACCGATTTCGTTCAAATTCCGTATAGAATTTAACTTGAGAGAGACGTACGGACAGACAAACAAGGCGAAGCTAATAGACGATTTATTTGAAATTCTTTGCTGCGAAAGTGCCAAGGCGTGCCTCAGACTACAGTTGATTGTAAACGGGTCTTTTATGAGCCCATATTCTTTTTCTTTACGATGAAATGTTTTTATAAAGCTGATAAATTAGACTTCAGTTTCATATGTTGTAAATGATATGATAAAATTCACCTGACAGCAATGTTTGGCACACGTTATTGAACTGAAAAATTATTATTGTCGTCTAAATCAATACATTTATTGGTTAATGTAACGACACTGTCAGCAGCTTAGAATAAACAGCGTCGAAGTAGTCCAGGCATAATTTCTGATACTAACCCGGCATTTGCCTGGAGAGACCGAGGAAAACCACGAAGAAACTCAGTCCGGATAGCCGATCTTCGGGTCGAGGTTTGAACCGGGGACATCCCTGTACGAAGCACCAGTGCTAACCACTCTGTCACTACATTCTGTCGTTTGGTATTGAAACGTGTGGATGGACATGTTCTCTCCATTAAGCGTTAATATTTTACACTACTCTCACATAACGCATATAAGTCTGTCTGCTGATGGCAGTTGTTGGTGGCAATCGACATGAACAACAGTCTCCCTCTCTGTGATATCTTTACATTCTTTGCCTGCTGGCTGTCAGGTCCTCCGTTCATCCCCTGCCTGTCAGTAGGCACATAATTTGTTTTGATGGGAGTTAGATTGGGCTGAAGGTACAAAGGTAGAATAAGGAACGTTTCAGAAGAAAGTGTCTTAACGAATTAACTCACCAGACTAACCTAACTGTCTGCTTGTCTGTGTAACTCAAATGACCAGAGTCCTTAAGACAATAACAAATTAGGGCTGATTGAATGCTGCTGCTTAAAAACATGAAGATTAAAATATATAAAATTATAATGTTTCCTTTAGTTTTGTATGGGTATAAAACTCGGTCTCTGACACTAAGGAAAGAACGTAGACTGAGGGTGTTGTGAAGAATGTTTGGACTCGAGAAGAATATGACTGAGAGGCTGGAGAAAGAGGCATAATGGGGAGCTTCATAAGTTTTCCTCATCACCAGATATAATTAGACAGATCAAGTCAAGGAGAATGACATGGGCGGGGCATGTAGCCCGCATCGTAGAGAAGAGGAATGCATACAGGGTTTTAGTGGGATAACCAGAAGGAAAGAGACCACTAGGAAGATCTAGACATAGGTGGAAGGATAATATTAAAATTAATATTAGATAAATGGGATGTATATTAAAATTAATATTAGATAAATGGGATGTATGGACTGGATTTATCTGGCACAGTGGCGGGCTTTTGTGAAAACTGTAATGAACCTTCGGGTTTCCATTAAATGTTGGGGATTTCTTGAGTTTCTGAGCTGTTGCTGGTGTCTCAGGAAGGACTTGCCGCGTGCAGTAAGAGTGTATTGTCGCATTTATTTATAAATATGGAAAGTACCAAGCGATGTATCAGTACGTTAAATTTTTGTCGATCCCGAATATCGTATTGTATCGATCTGTAAATATGAAATGTCATCCATGGCTGACACAGAAATAAGTTTTTTAATGTTGTTTCATTGATCCAATCCCAATTCCCGTTGCGACTGACAGCCAGTTTTAAATCGTGTTGATTCCTTGATCACATAATTTAAAAAAATAAATTGTGCAGACACAGTCAGTCCATGTGGTTGACAACGAGGCACAGGGACACTTGTTTCTCCGAGTTCTTCGGTTCTTCTTGTCAATATTATTCCTCCAGTTCTCTCTTCCGTACACTCGTGTGCCGTCTGGGGGGTAGACAGCATGGCCGTTATCGGCCAGGTTCTGCAAAATCAACGGAAGACACGCGGTGCAGGAAATTACAATATTTAGGAAACGAACAATGAAAGTATTCCAGGATCTGTAACAGGACACGGTTTCTTTTCTTTTGCATTTTTCATTTAACGCTGTGGTTTATGTGGCCTTGATTCGTATTTTCTGTGACTTAAATAGTAATTTGCCTGCAGCAAGTGGGAAATCAGTGTGTGTGTTTTTAAAAATATCGTAACTTCCCAAGGCATCATTATGAAATGTCTTGTACACTCGTGCCATCTGTGGTGAAAGACTAAAGTGACAGTAGAGACATCGAGGCAGTGTCGTAGCATTCCAGAAGTAACTTGTTTGTTTGAGGTTAGGAACAATTTTTTTTTAAATTCAATTTCTGCATTTTCTGTAATTTGGTTTCTTTTGTCGCCCCTTCCAATATATATATTTATTTATATTTATACATTTCTCTTTATAGCTTTCCCGTTTTTGGTTATTTCTTCCTTTGCTTCATCCTCCCTCATTTTAATATTATCATATTTTCCTTTCAAGGTTTTCAAGAAAAACATTTACCTTCGCTTTATGCACCAAGTCTTTGTTATCACTATATTTTTACAATAAAGCTCTTAATTTTATAGGAACTCTCACATTTATCATTTCCGTGTTTGGTTATACGTATAATGGACACTGAAATTGGATTTATGTTTCTGTTCAGTGTAAACAGCTTTCCAAATTGACAGTGACGTCAACGTGGGTGTAACTGTCGCATTGCACTGAGCACTGCTTGTTCCTGGTATTCGGGTTCGATTCTCGTGTTGAGTGGTGGGACGCTTTGTACTGTGCAGTTCATAATTCTTTGTCACCCCCATCTGTCATCGGAAATGTTAAAAGTAATATATAAAAAAAACTGATGTTTTAACTCTGGTTTAGACGGATATAATACTTGGTCTCTTACATTAATCTTTTAAAATCGAAGATCGTGTAAATAAATTATAAGAATTCAGTCCGTACCGTAAAGAAAACGCAGAACAACTGGTTAATGCTGTTTAAGGAAGTAATCGTTGTTTACGCTAAGAATCATACAAAACACGTAAGTATAAAATAAAACGTTACTGGTCGTTAAAGCAGATGGCACATATAATTACCATTCGACTTTAAAGGGCTCGGAGAAGAAAATAGATTGAGGGTGCCTGAGCAGAATATTTTTTTGATCGAGGAGTGAGGAAGTAACAGACGTTTCGAGAAAATTTCATGATATGGAGCTTCGAAATTTGATTTCTAACCATATAATATTAATGTGATTAAATGAAGGAAAATGAGATGGGCGCATATCGCACAGAAAAGACGAGAAATTGGCCTAAATATAATTGTAGTCGGAAGTTATGAAACTAAGATACGAGGGACCCAAGACGTAGGTGGGAGGATAACATTAAACTGGATCTTAAATAAGTTGTGAAGATGTGGAATGGACTTATGTGGTTCACGATGGGGACCAGTGACTGGCTCATGGTAATTAACCTTTGGGTTCCATAAAATACGAATGTATTTGTTAGTTGAGAGACTACTGGCTGCTGAAGATGGAATTAGTTGCTGAGAGACGCGAATTGACTTGAGGAGCAAGAAACCTAGTTATTTTCTCTTGTCTAGCTGAAGAAGGAATGTTAGCTATCGTAGTTTATCAAGTAGGGATAAGTTAGTCATGTAGCTTGGACTGAGAGGTGTTGAAGGCGTGTAGAATTTTGGAATTGAATCGCTGGGAATCTGTATGTAGAGGAGTCCAGGGCAGAACGGGGAACTTAATCTTTGGAGGCATGTGGAAGGGACAATAATAAATATAAACTCATGGAGAAACCTTGTGTGGGTCTTTTTGTCTATTTGAAATTTAGAATTATGGGTCCGCAGTGGCCGCGCGGTCTGATGCGTGGGCCTTATGCCGCTTGGTCGCTGGGACCGTGGGTTCGAATCCCACTCAAGCCATGGATGTTTTTCTGTGTAGTGCTATCCTGTGTACAGGTAGAGGCCTTGCGAAGGGCCGATCCCTCGTCAAAGGAGTCCTACCGGATGTCTATAGATCAAGCCAGCGAATAGTTGGGGACCCGTAAAATGTATAAACGTTGTTAATAACCGGAAATAGAAGATAAGAAATTTAGAATGAGTTATTAGTTTAGTTCTAAGAGTTACAGATTTTTAAAAGTACTCATTTCTTTACAAGAAGACGGAGTAAGATTGATATATGTTTGAAAAGTTGTAAGAAGACACAGATTATGCAATAATTATGACGTAGGATATAAAAATGATTTAGTTTACAATATAAAATGTCGAAACTTTATACATTTGAAGTCTACTTAGGCCTAATGCAGACGGAACACATGTGAACCTCTTCATCATCGTGTCTATCAACACCTGCACATGAGTTATGGACCCGTTTCAAGCAAGACGAATACCGGATCCACCCTTCAATAGACTGAGAATAAACTTCGCAACTTTACAGACACTTGTTAGTTGATCCTCTTCTCTGGGTACCCCATTCTGCCCAGAGTATACTCTTTCAAATTAGGACTGTCCCACTAAAAATGACATCATGAAAATAAATAAAAATATTGTGTTTAAAACTTTGAAGATAACGCTTTATAACATGCATCATTCAACAAAGCGGATATGAACAAAGAATAGGTCTTACCTGCACTGGAAGTTGAGA